ATCTGCCTGTTTTGGCCTCCCAAAGTGCTGGGATTACAGCCATGAGCCACTGTGCCCAGCCAAGGCAGAATGTTTTTTGTAAGTTAATATGGAGAAAAAGGCATGAGCCAGGTCAAGAGCTGCATACTAAAGGCAAAAGTTTATGTTAACTGCCTCAGTAAAGATAGCACACGTGGAACAGCAGCTGCACTGGACTCAAGGAGTAACTACCTGATTAAATTGACAACAGCCAAGTCATTCTCCAAGATCCATTTGACTTCTGCCCAGGCCAACAGTCAATTAAACGAGAATGAGAATGTGATAGAATTATCATCTGATTCTTTCAAGTCTTTGATTGCGCTATCAATCTTTGCAATTCCTCCAGGAATGTGGTATTGCCAGTATTTACTCTCTTAGTAGTAAGGGGAAGTTCCAGGAGTTTTCACGTAGCCTTTTCTGCCAACTGGCCCTCACTCTATGGGTCAGAGAGTCAATTTGGGGATTCTGGCAGTTGCCAAATAAGACTAATCCAACTATAGACGGTCCCTGACTTATGATGGTTCCATTGATGTTTTTTTTTTTTCTTTTCCAATTTGGGTTGTCACCAACATTGATGATTTTTTGACTTGACAATAGTGCAAGCGTGGTGCACGTTTAGTAGAAACTGTACTTTGGTACAGTATTCAATAAATTACATAACATCTTCACCACTTTATTATCAGGCTTTGTGTTAGATTATTTTGCTCAGCTTAGGCTAACATAAGTGTTCTGTGTATATTTAAAGCAGGCTAAGCTAAGCTGTTATGTTCCACATTGGGTGGAAGGTTGGGTGTAGCATATGCATTTTGACTTATGATATTTTCAACTTGCAATGGGTTTATCAGGATGTAACTCCATCATAAGTCAAGGAAGCATCTGTACACATTGAGGAACTAGGGAAATAACCACTGGATGGATCTGTGGACCAACTGGGTCCATTGTGAGTCAAACTTGAACTCAGATTCCATCTATCACCTGAACATCATAAGGCCTCACTTTTACTCCTGGGATACAGAGCTGTTCTAGGTTTCCAGGAATTGGTTCAGAGCCAGTGCCCAGTAAACCCCAAAAGATCGGGGTATTTACTTTTCCCCAGTATGTAACCATTTGAGTAAATGGCTGCATTCATTTCGATGAAGGCTTGGAGGAAAATTTACAGTATATACTTGTGTCAAAGGTGCAGGGTCCTTCTTCCAAGAGATCTGGCCTCCCTGTCAATCAAGAGGTTTGGGCTTGTGATATGACTTGTCTAAAAACTAGGTGAGAGACTATGTCTATCCAGTGTGGCACTCAGGTGAGGTTTTTGGCTACTAGACCTAGAGGTTTCTTTCTTTTTTTTTTTCCCCGTTAGATAGATCAAACAACTCTCTAGTAGGCTGCCCATCTGTTTCATCCCTAGGGACACAATGGCCACTTCCAAAGATCCTTATAGGCCAACATATTCTGATTATTGGTATGTCCTGGCTTCTCTACAGGGTTGATGTCTGTACCTTTAACAATTAAGTGCTGCCACTTGGCCTCATCATCTCCACTAACACGGGGGAGCCCAACTCAATGGTGGCATCTTCCATGATCATACCTGGCTTGCAAAGGAGAGCAATCACAGATCTTTCTAAGGATGCAAGTGCTCCCTTGTCTAAAGTATTTCTCAATACCTTAGACAAAGGAGCATCTTCTGGTTCTTCTTGTGGGATATAGCTTTTGTGTTTGTGTCTATGGCATGCAGGTCAAGGTCACATTTGATCAATTCAGTCCAACATTTCTACCTCTCTAAGTCTTTGGGTTCCCCACTCCACATCATGCCTTGGCATCCCAATAGTATTAACTGTAGACTACTGTTGAGTTAAATCTTCAATAAATCCACCAAATAAACTGTTAGAGTCACTTCCAACTGCATGAGTCAATACAATGTCTATAAATGCACTCTAGTAAGTGGCTCCATACCTGATCTAGTACTATATACAGCCCTCCTTAGTTTAAAACACTGAGAATCCACTTCCACACATTCCACACATTAGCAAAGTATATGTAATTAGTATAAGCATTTCATCGTGCAAGCTGTTTTATTCTAGATCATAGTGTGTTCCAGCCTACCTGGAGCATTAATGAGGTTTGAACCTAGTAGGGGTCAAGTGGCAATGGGGCAGAAGAAGGGAAAGTGAATTCTGGTGGGTCTTGTAGAGAATGAACCTCCCTTTTGAAGTCACCTACACCAGCTGAGGGCTTAGCAGTGTCTTCAAGCAAAGAATAACTAGTGTCCCCAGACATAGGAGGACAAGCTACTTCCACTGCCAAGGAAAGCTCAGGGTGATGTGGGTGTTCAAGACTGTCAGTTTATCTGGGTCTAAGCAGAGTGCTTATTTCAAGTTTTGGGATTCCATTACTTCCCAATTGATAACTTTCACAAGAGAAACTAACCTCGGAATTCAACCCACAAGGAGTAGTCAAATACTGTGGGCCACCTTGCACCAAAAAGCCAGCTGAGAAGAGCACACTGGAACCAGGAAAAACAGCTTCTTCCTCCTCTGAATTTCCTCCAGGACCCTCTATTGATGGAGCTTACTGCCCATTGAGCCAAAAGGCAAGGCAGAAACCTTCCAATATTGCAAGCAGGGTAGTGAAGGGTGGGTTTGGAATGGAGACTCAATAGGTTGATAACTGGCAACACACTTTGTCTTCATTCCTTCTCCCATGGTCTCTACCACCACCTCCTGATAAAAACCCAAAAATTTCAAATAGAAATAAGAAAATCAAGGCCCAAATGAGGATGCCTAGACCATTAAGAACATTTAATACTATATACTCGCATTTTCTTTTTCTTTTTCTTTCTTTTTTTTTTTTTTTTTTGAGGCGGAGTTTCGCTCTTGTTACCCAGGCTGGAGTGCAATGGCGCGATCTCGGCTCAATGCAACCTCCGCCTCCTGGGTTCAGGCAATTCTCCTGCCTCAGCCTCCCGAGTAGCTGGGATTACAGGCACGTGCCACCATGCCCAGCTAATTTTTATTTTTAGTAGAGACAGGGTTTCACCATGTTGACCAGGATGGTCTCGATCTGTTGACCTCGTGATCCACCCGCCTCGGCCTCCCAAAGTGCTGGGATTACAGGCTTGAGCCACCGCGCCCGGCTATATATTTGCATTTTCTAGGGTACCAACCATTTCAGTTTGCCCAGGACTGTCCTGGCTTTAGCAATTAAAGTCCTGTGTCCTGGGAAACTCCTCAGGCCCGGCACATACAAACCAGAACAATTTATCATCCTACATGTGTTCTAAAAGTTTTCAAAATTTTTGTGCACAGAATCACTTGGGTACTTGTTTAAAATGCAGGTGATTCTGTTAAAAATAAAATGCAATGATTTGGCCGGGCACAGTGGCTCACGCCTGTAATCCCAGCACTTTGGAAGGCTGAGGTGGGCGGATCACCTGAGGTTGGGAGTTCAAGACCAGCCAGACCAACATAGAGAAACCCCCATCTCTACTAAAAATACAAAAGTAGTTGGGCGTGGTGGCACATGGCTGTAATCCTAGCTACTCAGGAGGCTGACGCAGGAGAATTGCTTGAACATGGGAGGCGCGGAGGTTGTGCTGAGCCAAGATCACACCATCGAACTCCAGCCTGGGCAACAATATCAAAACTCCGTCTCAAAAAAAAAAAAAAAAAAAAAAAAGCAGTGATTTCACATGCAAGTAAATCATGGATTGATTTTTGAGAAATACACTACTTAGAGGCTGAAGAGGGGTTAATTACTACTTTTAGGAACTCCTCAATCCAGACTCCTTTGTTCCTGTTCCAAAACTATAATCACTGAAAAGAAAGAAATGACATCTTTTAGAAGATATAGCCAAAGTTCCTGAGCCAGAAGTAGACACTGACAAATTAGTTCATGGGGGGAAAAAAACTGTAGTCTGACCTTAGCATTTTCTCTCCTTTCAGTTCTCGGATAAATCATTTTTCCTTTAATATCACAAAGTATAACAAATAATAGTGAGTGCTGTGAAAACAGATTTGATAGCAGGAACAATATACGTACATTGATGAGGTGTACCTATATTGAGCTTCCTGCAGATAAACACTCATACCAGGCTTAAAGAGTTCCACAGTGACTATACTTTGGCAGATCTTAGAGAATGACTTGCATAAAACCGTCAATTCAGGGCTACTTTTGCTATTTTCATACTGTAAGGTACATGGTTTAACATGGCCACTTTAGCGATGTTTCTCATGAGCTCAAATGGGGTGAATTCTTTTGAAAATTTTTGAGTTTTTGTTGTGTTCCAGGCATTGTGCTAAATTCTTTAAATGCATTATCTCATTTACTCCTCCCAGAAAGAGCTATACCCATTTTAAAAAGAGGCGAGGGCTTGCCCTAGATTACACACCTAGTAAATCGTGGTGTCTGGGCCAAAACGTAGGTCTGTTCACCCAAGCAAAATTTGCTTAGCACTGGAGAGAGAGAAGGCGAATTAACGCGTGATCCTATGCTCTGCTGTAAAAGCTGTGATCGGAGGCGTGCACAGGCTGCAACAGGAACACAAAGGAGGCTCATCTCAGGAGGCTTTTAGGATAAAATGCAAATCCTTTTGCTTAGCACATCATAACCAGCTTCCCCAAGACCCCGGCTCTTTATCCTGCCCCGCTGGTACCCGGTCGTTCTTTCTGCCACAAACATGCCGATGCTTGGACATCTCCCGTTTCGAGGAACGCACGTAGGAGACACGCCTTCAATTCCACCTTTGCAAAACCCCGACGCCTTCACACAGCTCCACCGTACTCTAAATTCCCGTCCTTCGCTCCAACCCCCGGCCCCTCATCGGCACCTTCCGATTAGGTCCTTTAAGCGCGAGGCATGTGGGTCTGCCCGGACTGAGGATGGTGCACCGGAAGTAGCGGCGGCGCCGCGCAACGTAGAGAGGAAGTGCCTGATGCCGCGGCCTGTGATTGGGGGTTGCTGGAGTCGGTGCTTCACTCTTAAGGTTCCGACCACAGACTGCGGAGTGGGTCCGAGGCTGCAAGGGCTGCTCGCGAGTCTTAGCGGGTTTCGACCCGCGCGTCCGGCTCCGCCAGCTAGTGCGCTTTCCCGGCTTACCGCTGGGTGCGCGGGGCTGCGGGTGTGAGGACCACCCCTGAGGTCTCTTCCTGGGTGACCGACCTCCTGGGCCTCATTCTAGGCCTCCTGGAAGAGGATCTAAATTAGGAAAAGGAACTACCCTTATCCAGGACCAAGCTCTTCTACCTGCGAAGCTCGCTTCCTCTGCACCTCAACTGTGCAGGAAGTGACTCCCCTGTTTACTGAGGATGAACTGGGGCTGAGAAAGGTGAAGTCGTTTGCCATGGGCCAAGCAGCTGGGAAGTGACAGGTCTGGATTCAAGGCGAGTTCTGGCTGGCGCCAGAGTCCTTGTACTTTACAGCACTGGTTCTCAAACTTTATGTGCATTTAGAATTCCTGGGTTGAGGATGACGTTAGTTAACAAATTCTGGGACTCTACAAATTGAGTAAGTCTGGGATGGGGCTCTGGAATCTGTATTTTCAACAGTTGTTCCCTAAGAAATAATATATGGCTCCCCAGGGAACGGAGGAAGAAGGTGAGCAAGTCATATGCTCTCCGGGGACCATAGGTAATTGCTGTGTGATGCTTTTAAGGCCTCAATTGAGAGAAATTGTCAAACCGGAGCTCCTGGAATTGGAGAATTGGTATTTGATTCTGTCATTAACTCTTCTGGGCAGATGGCAGCTTCTGTACTTTCCCCACCTATTAAATGAGATGATTTACATGCTTATCAGCTGGGGGAGCTTGTTAAACACACAGATTCCTGAGCCTGGCTTAGCTCTAGAGAATCAGAAGAGGTGGGAGATGGGACCTGGGAATCTATAGGCTAAGCAAGCTATTAGTATAAAATGAACTTTTACCTTTGAGAACTTGAGGTGTGAAGCCTTCTTAGGTAGAAGCATAAATACGTAAGTGGATTATAGATTTGGAACACGTGGCTTTAATTTCCTTGTTATTTTTTTAGCCGTACATGCTTCAGTATTTGCTGTAGGCTAAACTTTTATTGGTGCAAATGTCAAATTAATGTTATTCGCCATTATGAGGTGGATTTCTCAGTTGGAGACAGGAATTTAATAAAAGAATATTAATCTACCTATTGTAGATTTCTTGAGTGTGGCCCACGTACATGCCTGCAATAGTGTAAAATCTTACACTTCTTGTTATAAAGACAAATACCTGTATCCATCCTCAATCAAATTTTCTGGAGATGGGCCATGGGTGTTTTGAACAAACTTCCAGGGAAGTCTGATGCAGCCAGTGATAATGGAATATGAAAATACGCTTGGAAACAGTCTTAGCCTATTTCTCAATGTCCAAGTAGGTGAAAATGAGAATAGTACAGTTTCCTTATTTTCTGCTCTTGGGGACTATTAAGGAGAATGTGGTTTATGATAGGTCCTGATTTTAGAATTTCTTAAAATGCACTTTTTTATGAAAGAAGCAAAAGTACTCTGATAAGATTTCAAAAGGTGAATGCTAAAGCCAGCAGCCCCAAATGACTTAGGCCTCTTGATTGAAACGTTGTGATGACAGAAACTGATTTTACATAGAAGCTCTATTGCCATTGAGAGTCTTCTGCCTGAAATTAATTATGCCTTACAAGTAATTGTTCACAACCCTAACTAAAAACACGATTTTGTTTTGTCTTAATAAACAGATACCATTGAGTAGTTTGAAGCAGGAACAGAATCTTCCGAAAGCTCAGAGCAGAAGCCTTTTTGGTCAACATGGAGGAAAAAAGACGGCGAGCCCGAGTTCAGGGAGCCTGGGCTGCCCCTGCTAAGAGCCAGGCCATTGCTCAGCCAGGCAAGAAAGGCAAGAATCTGTAGGGATCGTGTGTGTGTGTGTTTACGTACAACTTACTTATATCCTTCTGGTTTATAATGGACTTCCGTTTCAGTTGATGTCAAGGAATTGTTTAAAATGTGGCTGATATTTTGTTAATGATGAGCTAAGGGTAGATCTTTGGTGTTCCTCATATTTAGTCCACACCCTCAAACCTTTCAGTGTGTAATAAGATCTTCCGTTGACTTTACCAGTTAGTTTCTAGATGTCATAGAGGTCATTGTCAATTGGCCCTTGCTGCTCAGTAGAAGGTGCTGAGAACAGACTTTCCCCTGGTTTGAGGCTGTCTCCTCTCTTGCTTCAGCTACCACTGCTAAGAGCCCTCTCCACCAGAAGCCTGGTCAGACCTGGAAGAACAAAGAGCATCATCTCTCTGATAGAGAGTTTGTGTTCAAAGAACCCCAGCAGGTAAATTCTTGTTTTTTTTTTTTCTTCCATAATGACAAAAGTTTGCTTTGAAAAGTGTTATTCACACAGTAGACCAAATAATGGCTGAATAATTCACAAATGAATTGTAGAGCAAAAGAACTATAATAATAACGAAATGCAAAGTATTTCAGTTCCTTTTACGTCTGGGGAGTCTCTGTAGTCTGCTCCCAGTTTATGGTCACATATTATTCCCGTATTTCTGGCAAGGGGGTTACACCGTAATGAGAGCTTGCTTACATTGGTTATGTGAGCTCCAGCAGTCCTAAAACTGTGCTGTCTTCAGTGTTATTGCACTTCAACGTCTTTGGAATTAAATTAAAATTTCAGTTATTACAGCAAAATGCCTGATTTTTAGCTCTTTTTTTCCTATGAGAAAAAATGTAGGAAACAGTGAAGATTTACTTTTTAATAACGTGGAAAAGTTAAAATGTTGAGTATCTTGCTGTAGTAATGACTCTAAATAATTATTAAAGTTCTAGGCTGGGAGCAGTGACTGATGCCTATAATCCCAGCTACTTGGGAGGCTGAGGCAGGAGAATCACTTGAACTCAGGAGGTGGAGGTTGCACTGAGCTGAGATTGCACCATTGCACTCCAGCCTGGGCAACAAGAGCAAGACTCGATCACAAAAAAAAAAAAAAAAAAAAAAGCTCCTTATTTTATAGTATACTTTATATGTTAAAAAATCTTATTGTCAAGAAGATTTTTCCAGAGCTGCTGGCAGCTAGGAAGATTTATTCTATTAATAATTGGATCTTGTTTTACTGTCTGCTAACAAATGAAGTAGTTTTAAGAAGAGCAGAGACAAGGTCTCTGGTGGGGTAGTGGGAAGTTGGAATAGAAAAGGGATAGTTTTAACTTTATTTTGACCAGAAATGGGAAGATACGATAAGTTGGTATCCGTGAGGATTAAGGATGTTCTAGAAGTAAGATCTGCTTATTTCCTTGCAGGTAGTACGTAGAGCTCCAGAGCCACAAGTGATTGAGTAAGTAATTTGCTATCTTCCTGTAATTATGCCCACAGTGAAATGAAGAGCCTGGAATCTTTCTTCTCTCTTTTTTTTCCATCTGGAAGAGAATGGCCCAATAAGTCTCTTAATTTTAGTCTGGGATATTCCTATCTCAAATATCTTTAAACTTGATCTTTTGAGAAGACTTTGTGAATTTGTTGGTGGTATGGAAAATGCAACAAGATAGTTGTATGTTAAACTTTGACTCGTGTAGATTTCCTGGCCCTATTTCACAATATCTGTAGACAGTCAGCTAAACCTCTCAGGCCAAGGCAGAGAGGAATTTTACTGAGTCACTGAAGTGTGGTTCTTTAAGAAGCCATTAATTGCTATTTCTTTAGCAATGCTTATGAAAGCTGCTACTGCTGCAGATGACCTTACAGTCCATTTATTAAAACCATGTAATTATTCCAGAACAATTTAAATGATAGTAAACATTCTTCTTATATTGATAGGTGTCTAAAATGTTCTTGTCCAAAGTTGGTGAGAGATGCTTTGACTCCTCTTTTCATGCTTGTCAATCTTCATCTGATGTAGATAAATTGTCAGTAGAAACTATTCTGATATCTTAGTAAATTAGCATGAGATATGCGTTCTTGCCTATGAGCAATTTTTTGTTATGCTCTGACTGCTTGCAGGTTGGCTTGTATATCTTAGAAAAAGTTGCAGGCTAGTTCTAGTAGTCTTCAGTTGTTTAAATTATTTTTTCATGTTTTTGGAACAGGCTGTCACTTTGTTACTCAAACTGGAGTACAGTGGCATAATCACAACTTACTGTAGCCTCCGTCTTCTGGGCTCAAGTGATCTTCCCACCTCAGCCTCCAAGTATCTGGGACCACAGGTGTATACCACCATTCTTGGCTAATTAAAAAAATATTTTTTTGTAGAGATGACATCTCCTTATGTTGCCTGGGCTGGTCTCGAATTCTGGGCTCAAACGATCCTTCCACCTCCATCTCCCAAAGGGCTGATATTACAGGGATGAGCTGCCATACCAGGCCTTCAGTTGTTTTAAGAAAAATCAGGCCGGGCGCGGTGGCTCACGCCTGTAATCCCAGCACTTTGGGAGGCCGAGGCGGGTGGATCACGAGGTCAAGAGATCGAGACCATCCTGGTCAACATGGTGAAACCCCGTCTCTACCAAAAATACAAAAAATTAGCTGGGCATGGTGGTGTGTGCCTGTAATCCCAGCTACTTAGGAGGCTGAGGCAGGAGAATTGCCTGAACCCGGGAGGCGGAGGTTGCGGTGAGCCGAGATCGCACCATTGCACTCCAGCCTGGGTAACAAGAGTGAAACTCCGTCTCAAAAAAAAAAAAAAAAGAAAAGAAAAATCAGTCGCCAGGCACCGTGGCTCATGCCTGTAATCCCAGCACTTTGCGAGGCCGAGGCAGGAGGATCATGAGGTCAGGAGATCAAGACCATCCTAGCCAACATGATGAAACCCCATCTCTATTAAAAATATAAAAAAATTAGCCGGGCATGGTGGTGCATGCCTGTAGTCCCAGCTACTCAGGATGCTGAGACAGGAGAATCGCTTGAACTCGGGGGGCAGAGGTTGCAGTGAGCCGAGAACACACCATTGCACTACAGCCTGGAAACAGAGTGAGACTCTGTCTCTAAAAAAACAAAAAACAAAAAAAAAACCCAAGTGTGTTAGTGCCTTCATTGGTGATAAGGAGAATAAATAAAACCATGAAACATGTTGCAAGCTACTGATGCGACATTTGGCCCCCAATAAATGGGCAATTGTCAGAGAAAAATGACAGAACTCATTGCTACTTGGCCCTAGAATTTTTTAATTCTGGTTACCTAAAGTTAACTATGCTAGGTTATTTTTATTTATTTATTTTTTTGAGATGGAGTTTTGCTTTTGTTACCCAGGCTGGAGTGCAATGGTGCGATCTCGGCTCACTGCAACCTCTGCCTCCTGGGTTCAGGCAATTCTCCTGCCTCAGCCTCCTGAGTAGCTGGGATTACAGGCACACACCACCATGCCCAGCTAATTTTTTGTATTTTTAGTAGAGGTGGGGTTTCACCATGTTGACCAGGATGGTCTCGATCTCTTGACCTCGTGATCCACCCGCCTCGCCTCCCAAAGTGCTGGGGTTACAGGCTTGAGCCACTGCGCCCGGCCCTAACTATGCTAGGTTAATAAAAAAATATCCAGAAACATCTTCTACATTTGAAGTGAGCCAATTTCTGAATATGGGCCAAAAATATATCATATTGAAACATTTTATTCTCTGTATAACCAGGAAAACTTTATAGACAATGCATGTAGAAAATGTGGTAAGTATGTGTGACAGCTATGACTGCATTTTGGCTGAAAGGGACTCGTACATCTACTTAAAAGCCTAGCTCAGAGATCATGAGCCACTAACTCCCATAACAGAGAGTGATGTGAAAACTGTCCCTTTGTATTATTCTCTATAACGTGTCTCTCTGAGAAGGATCTGACGCAGTTGTCTTGCTAGATATACCTATCCGGTCTGTGTCACTTTTCCCATTATGGGCCTTACCACCTGGCAGTTCTGCAACAGCTTTATACATTTTCACATTTGATTAAATTCAGTAAACCTTTATTGCCTATCTGCTATGCGCAGACACTGGGAAACCTATTCCTTGCCCCTCAGGTGCCCACAATCTAGTAAATGAAATAGGCATGTAATCAGGTAAGTTATAATCCTGTACATCATGAAATAATAGACTATATCTAGGGTCTAGTGGTAACACAGAGGATGAGAGGTTAATATTATTCGCCTGGAATAAAGTTCAGGAAGAGCTTAGAAGAGGTGATGTGAAGCTGGGATTTTTGAAAGGTGAATTAAGAGTCTTCCAAAGCTGGAGGTGGGTTGGGTTGAGGATGCTGAGTGGCAGGGTGGCATTCCAGCATGTCAAAAAGCATGGAGTTAGAAGCCTAGTGGTGTGTTCAAGCAGTTGATTGCTGCTGGCGGATGATGAGTTTATGGGAGCTGTCAGAAGATAGAGCTACATTATGAGGACCTTGAATGCAGTTTCGGGGTGCCATTGAAGGATTTTAATCAGAAGAGGAACCTCATCAGATGTTTATCTTTGAAAGCAGCAGAAGCCCAGAGCCCTGGGATGTGCTTGCTGCCTGTTAAATGGATCCCCTATTCCACATTCTCCAAAGGAGTGCTCTAGTTGACACCTCTTTGACACCTCTTCGTGCAGTAGATTCCTGGACCATATCAACCTCAGTTACAGGTAAAATATAAAGGAGTAGAATCAGAATTGATTTTGTCTCCATGGCCTGATCCCAGTGCCATTAATGATGCACCATCATCTTGCCCTTTATCTCAGTGGCAGAAGGAGGTGGGGATTATGCCTTCCTCAAGTGCTGTCTTATAATTAGATGACTTTGGTGAGTCAAGACTTTGGCAGTTCGGAAGGATAACTCTTCCACTGGGTAGAGTATATTTTGCCTCAAACTAATAAGTCTTTTTCCTTTGTTTCTTTAGCAGAGCGGGTGTGTATGAAATCAGCCTGTCACCCACAGGTATATCTAGGTAAGTAAATCCTCACAAGAAAGGAGGATTATCTCTGAGTTAATTGTCTCTTAAAATAGTCTACTCCCCTAGATAATGTGCTACGTATACACCGTGGAATACTATGCAGCCATTAAAAGGAATGAAAGCATGTCCTTTGTGGGAACGTGGATGGAGGTAGAGACCTTTTCCTCAGCAAGCTAATATGGGAACAGAAAACCAAATACCACATGTTCTCACTTGTAAGTGAGAGCCAAATGATGAGAACACAGGGACACATAGAGGGGTACACCAATAGACACTGGTGTCTGCCGGAGGGTGGAGGGCGGGAAGAGGGAGAGGATCAGGGAAAGTAACTAATGGGCACTAGACTTAACACCTGGGTGATGACATAATCTGTACAACAGACCCCCATGACACAAGTGTACCTATATAACAAACCTGCACATGTATCTCAAAGTTTAGAAAAAGTCTACTCCCTTCTTTCATATAGGTAACTTCTGCCCCTTAAATACTTGGGGAGCAAAAATTTGATAATATCTCCTTCTTATATAGTATTTCTAGCATCCAAACATTTTCAGATATAGTTCCTAACCTTTCTGTCAGATACAGTAGCTATTGCTTCCCCAGTTTTTTAGATGAGGAAATGAGACCTAGGAAGAGTGAGTCTTTTTTCTTTTTTCTTGTTGCCCAGCCTGGAGTGCAATGGTGCTATCTTGGCTCACTGCAACCTCCACCTCCCGGGTTCAAGACATTCTCCTGCCTTAGCCTCCCAAGTAGCTGGGATTACAGGCATGTACCACCAAGCCCAGCTAATTTTTTTTGTGTTTTTAGTAGAGACGAGGTTTTACCATGTTGGTCAGGCTGGTCTCGAACTCCTGACCTCAGGTGATCCACTTGCATCAGTCTCTCAAAGTGTTGGGACTACAGGTGTGAGCCACCATGCCTGGCCTGAGTATTTTTTCTTAGTGCCACATAGTAACTTGATATTAGAGTTGGGTCTAGCCTGGACTTCTGTGCTGTGAATGCTACATTATATTATTATTATATTTCATGTATATTACATAATATATATTATTGTATATAACATAACATATTGCTACTCTAGAGTAAATTTCTTTTTTTATTGTTTTTTTGTTTTTGAGATGGGGTCTGGCTCTTTCACCCACACTGGGGTGCAGTGGCATGATCTTGGCTTACTGCAACCTCTGCCTCCTGGGCTCAAGCCCTCCTCCCACTTCAGCCTCTGAGTAGCTGAGACTACAGGTGTGCGCCACCACACCTGGCGAATTTTTTTTTTTTTGGTAGTGATGGGGTTTCACCATGTTGCCCAGGCTGTCCTTGAACTCCTGGGCTCAACTGATGTGCCCACCTTGACCTCCCAAAGTGCTGGGATTATGGGCATGAACCACCATACCTGGCCTAGGGTAGATTTCCGTAGGTAAAGCATATATTTAGGATATATTAGGCATTAGTCATTGTTTTAAAAACATTTGAAAACATCACCTTACTGCATGAGTATACTAATTGTCACTATAAAATAATGAGACATTTAAAACAAATATATCAGAATGTACACATTAAATGAATTTCTTAAAAAGAGCTTCTGCTGGAACAGTGGCTCTGCCATGGTATATAACCCTTTTTGAAACTTTTCTTTTAAAGCAAGTCACTGAAAAAAAGCCAGTTCTATCATTTTGGTCATATCTCATTGTTAACTAGGTATGGCTTCAGGTAAGCTTTGGCTCTTTCAAAAAATCAGATGTACTGTCAAAGAGTGAAGACTTTCTACCAAGGCAGTTTAAGAGAATCTTCTGTGGGCTTTTAGAAGATGTCTTAAGAAAGATCTCCAAAATTATTTTGAGCTGAGTTGGCATTGTTGAAATAAACACATAGTCAGTGGGAGAAAGAACCCTCATTAGCTGTGTTTATTTTGATATAGTCATAATGGGCTCTAGCTTTCCCTAGAATTAGCATAGTCTCAGGAGACTACCAATTGTTTAAATAAAACAGGGCCAGGCATTTTATTAGGCTTTTGTTTTCGTTTTTTTTTAGATGGTGTTTTGCTCTTGTAGCCCAGGCTGGAGTGCAGTGGTGCGATCTCAACTCACTGCACCCACTACCTCTGGGCTCAAGCGATTCTCCTCCCTTCGCCTCCCGAGTAGCTGGAACTACAGGCATGCATCACCATGCGCAGCTAATTTTTTGTATTTTTAGTAGAGACAGGGTTTCATCATGTTAGTCAGGGTGGTCTTGAACTCCTGACCTCAGGCGATCCACCCACTTCAGCATCCCAAAGTTCTGGGATTACAGGCATGAGCTACTGCACCCGACCTTATTAGTTATTCTGTTTACTCTGCACAGTGAACCTATGAGATGGATGTCATCTCAGATTGCAGATGAGAAAACCAAAGTTCAGAGCGGTTCAGTAACTTGCCCGGGGTTTCACAGCTAAGCAGTACTGGAGTACTGTTTGAAGAATGATCTGTAAAAGCCCTCACCTATCATCCCTTTAACCTTCATTGCCTCTTTTATTTGACCCAACATGAAAGGATTTTATTTTACATTTGGAGCCTCATGACCTGGGTGATGTTGGCTCTGCTTGCTCTGGGAGCTGTGGTAAGATTTCATCTACCCATTAGCAGCTGCATCCAGATTAACTTTTTCCACTGACGTTTAGAGTCTAACTGATCTTTTCCGTGTTCTTCGGTTAACAATGGTTCATTCTGCACCCAGGCTCCATTTGTATCCTGGCTTTGTTGATGTAAAAGAAGCTGACTGGATGTTGGAACAGCTTTGTCAAGATGTGCCCTGGAAACAGAGGACCGGCATCAGAGAGGGTCAGTAGATCCCTGGGCTCACAGTCCGCGCTGCTTGTTCTCCCTCTCTGGAATGTTTCCTAATACCACTGCCTCTGCTCACCATAGCTAGTCAGTCTTAAACAGAAATTCAAAATCGGAGTTACCAAGAATGAGTACAGTTAGCCAAAGAGGACAGGGAAGAGTATTGCAGGCAGAAGAAACAGCAGGTGGAAGGCCCAGAGATCAGAGAGAACATGGCAGGAGTAGAGAGGTAACAGTTCAAGGAACCAAAGGAAATTTGGTTGGCTGAACTGTATCTGCTTTTGTCTTTGTTCAGTGACTATATTGCTTCAAATGCTGCCAGCTTTTTCCTTTTCTTCTTTCTGATTCTATTTTGCATACATTCTTTCACACTCCTTCCTGACTTTTTATTCTTCTTTAACTTTCACCAGAAGAGTCCGCTTCGGCATCTGTATTCTACTGAGCTTGTAAAAGTGACACAGCAGTTTGTTACCTAAGTTGGAACCTGCTTCTCTGCAGGCATCCAGAAGTCAACAGTGCCTGTTATACCACAGACGGTCACTGGGGGGCGTCTGTGCTCTAGCTTAAAATTTTCTTTCTGGCACATCGAATTTAAATTTTCTGTAAAGAAAGAAGCAAAGTATCTTTAGTTGTCCCTCGGTATTCACAGGGCATTGCTTCTGAGATTCCCTCTGGTTACCGAAATTCATGTACGCTCAAGTCTTTTTCTATAAAAACTATCAGTATTTGCGTATAACCTATGCTCATCCTCTAGTATACTTTAAATTATCTCTAGATCACTTATAATACCTAATGCAATGTAAGTGCTGGTAAATAGCTGTTATACTTTTTTAATGTTAATTTTTATACTTTTTTTTTTTTTTTTGGATCCATGGTTTGAGTATTTTTGATCCATGGTGGATGTGGAACCCACAGATACAAAAGGCCCCACTGTGCTGGCTTCATTTTTGTTACTCATGTATCAGAATCAGTCAGCTTCTGTAGGGCAGTCTTCTCTCAATTCCCAGCAGTTTCTACAGCAGAGCTTTTGGTGACAGACATGGCTTTGATTGTTGGTTCTGTCATTCAAAGTAGTTGTTAATTTTAAGCAAATTACAGTTAAGTAACTCTCTGATCCCTGGTTTTCTTATCTGTAAAGTTAAACTAATAATAATGTCTATCTTATAAGGTTGTTGTGTTAATAAAATGAGATAACCCATGAGACTGCCTGGTATATAGTAGCCCCTCAATGAGTATTAGCTGCTGCTGCTATTGTTATTGTTGTTATTGTTGTGGCTGATACCAGTTGTGGGAAAAAGAATAGATCTATGGGTAACTGCTTCTCTAAATTGGAATATCAGAGTCTGCTGGCGACAATCAGCTGCATGCTACAGTCGATCAGGGCACTTCTTCCTCCATCGAATCAAAAAGGTTTACACAACATTGGACACATGATTGAGCAGTTTGTCTTGCTTCTCATATGGATGTTGGTGCCACAAATTTCTACAGATGGGTTCAGGTTCCATATTCTGCTTTTTGAGACTGTCCCTAGTCTGAGCCACTGTTCCCCAGTGTGACCCTTTGCCCTCTCTTATTTATGTCATCACTTATACAGCCGAGTCACCCACATTCTCATCTCAGAGCCTTTGCCCACGCTGTGTCTGCCAACGTGGCTTCTCTTGTCCATTCTACTTGCCAAGTCCCATATCTTCTATGAAGGTGGAACTCTGGGTCAGAGCCTATTCTTTTCCTTTATTTCTCATAGCATATTGCAAGGCACAGAGTTAGCACTCAGTAGTAACACCTTAAATAGCATTGATCCATTTCAAAGGCCCTGTATTTTCTTTCTTAGATATAACTTATCAGCAACCAAGACTTACAGCATGGTATGGAGAACTTCCTTACACTTATTCAAGAATCACTATGGAACCAAATCCTCACGTATGTCAAAATATTGTCATTGGTATAGTTTTATAGACTATATACTGTGTTTTGAGTGCTGTAAAATAACTACCTTTCAGAGATGCCTGCTGGTTCCTACTTCAAAAAAACTCTCTGGGTTGAAGCATTGAGTCTTTGTGCTTGTCATCCTCCATGTGCTTTTGATCTATAGATGAGCCAGAGAATGAGAAAAAAACTAGAACAAGAGTAAGCTAAACCAGAGTCTAGGATTTTAGGAAAGTGAACTGCTGCTTCTCCTATTATCCCTCTTTCCCAAGCTTTTCTGGCTGTAATCCTTCTGTGTACACCCTGGTATGCATTTGCTGTGGGGCTGAGTCCTTATGACTGGCTAGTGAGGTCAGTATGTCTCTTTCTGTTTCTCAGGCTCTTAGCTGTTTGTGAAAAAAAAAAAAAAAAAAAAAAAAAAAAAATCTAGTGTTTTTCTTGTTAACTTGTATTCATTCTATGGCTGCAGTTCTCAGACTTCCAAATGATTACGGCTATGGCTTGTTTCTGCTGCTGCTTTTGTTTTTAAAAAATTTCCATGACAGTAGACGAAGATATCCTAGTATATAAATTAAGCTCATCCGGGGACAGAGTTAAAGTCCAAGAAATAGCTCCCTGTTTAGTTCCTGGAATCTTGCCTTTGGCAAATAATGTTATGTTTTATTGAAAGAGACTTTGGAGAAAATGGAGTTTTTCTTATGCCGTTGGGATATACAGAAATGTAACACATTTCAGAGCTTCTAGAAATTTGTAATCACAAGCTACCACTTTACTAAAACGTTCAGGGAGGAAACATTGACTGAGAGAACTTGGCTTTTTCACATAGCAGACAGCTGTATGCTTTGCTTTCAAGAGCTGCATTTAGAATGTGATCCAGGGAAGTGCCGAGACCTTTTCTATCTGAGGTTGATTTGGAAACATGGAGATTATGGAATTAGGCCAGTCCAACATAGCCTGCTTTCCTCGTTTCTATCAGAATTAATTTATCTTCTTGTCAGTAGTCACAGCAGAGAATCTGAAGATTAAATGGGCTATGGGGAAGTTCTTATTCATTCTAGTTAATTTTTTAGAGCAAGATCTTTCAGCTTCAGCGATACTGCCCTTTTGGGCTGGATCATTCTTTCTTGTGGGTCTATCCTTTGTGTTGTAGGATGTTTAGCAGTATCCATGACCTCCACCCACTAGATGCCAGTGGCACCCCTCACCCAGTTGTGACAACCAAAACCAACTCAAGACATTGGTAAACATCTGCTGGGGGGCAAAATTGCCCCTGGTTAAGAACCACTGGGAATAAACACGAAGCACATAGGATCTGCTGAGTAAAGTAGCCTCTTATTGTCTGACACTTTGGGAACATTTTGGCAACTTTTCAAAATAATTTATGACAATCCTTTTTAAAAAACGTTATTAGTATGTGCTTGTTATTTAAGATATAGAAACTTCAGATAAACATGAAAAATATTAAAATTCTTGATATTTCTACTACCTGATATTTTAGTTCCAATCTTGTTATTTTAGACAAATATACTTAGAGAGTCTTTTCTGTAAAAATAGGCCAGGGTGGTGGCTCATGTCTATAATCCCAACACTTTGGGAGGCCAAGGTGGAAGGATCACTTGAGGCCAGGAGTTCATATCCAGCCTGGGCAACATCGTGAGATGCCTTGTCTACAAAAATTTAAACATTAGCTGGGTATACTGGTGCCTGCCTGTAGTCCTAGTTACTCAGGAGCCTGAGGCAGGAGGATCGCTTGAGCCCAGGAATTGGAGGTTACAGTGAGCTATGATCATACCACTGTGCTCCAGCCTGGGAGACAGAGCGAGACCCTGTCTCAAATATACACACACATACACACACACACACTCTCTCTCTCTCTAATTTCATCTAACTATAAAAGCTCATAGCTTTTTATTGCTGATATATTTAGTTCATTTATATGTTATCTTGAACAAAAAAGAGTTGCCCTTTCTCAGATTTTTATTTATGTTCATTTTAAATTTAGATACAGGGTCTTGTTATGTTGCCCAGGCTGGTCTTGAACACCTGGGCTCAAGTGATCCTCCTGCCTCAGCTTCCTTGAATAGTTGTGATTACCATCCACACCCTGGTCTCTCAGATTTTTTTAAAGGAGGATTCACTAATGTGTGTGTATATGTATGTTGGGGGTACTTGTTTAGTTTAAAAATTGTCATTACCTGAAGCTTAATATCTCATAAAGAGTAGTTTCAGTCATAGGTCTTTAATCTTGTTTTAGTTTTTATTTGAACTAAATCTCATGTGAACCCAGTGTGTAAAACAGATCACAGCTTGACTGGCTGGGAGTCCCACCAACTTGACCTCTGCTTTCTTTTCCTGTAGACCTAGAAGTACCACTAAGGTACTTAGAACTCTATCCAACACTGTTTGAAATCCACTAAATAGCTCCTTTTACTTCTGTGATTCATATTTTTTTTTGTATGCTTTTCCTAAAATGTCTTTTAAGGATAAAATGTCTTCACTGAGTGAGATAATGCTGAATTTTAATTTAGACATTCAGTTCAGAGGAATCTGTATATAGAGTATTGGTTGGAGAGTCTAAATTAATCCTCTAGTTCATTATCCCCCTTTTTCTTCCTTTTCTCTCTACTTCACTACCAAAAATAACCAAGAAAAAAAAAATACCTACTTGGAAACAATGCAAACTTTATGTTATCTCAGTATTGCCTAAGCAATTCAGGGAAGTGCTAATTAGATTCTCAGTGACATTGTAGAAAAAAATCCTATCTTCCTCCTTTACATTCTTGTTTTTCTTGTTAAGTGTGTAATTCTAGCATCTGATCTTTATCTCCATGAAGATAAATTTAAAGCTGTAAAGTAAATAGGAAATACAGCCTGCTGACATTATTACTGGAATTTCACTTTGAAATTTATTTTCTTGAACAAAGATTAATTTAATATTTTTGTTTTATGAGGGTGGATCTCATGTTATGTATTTTTCTACCACAATAAAAAAGGAGAACAAGAGATGCAGAAACTTCGAACTTTGGAGGCTTCCTGAGTTTGGCCAACTGTTTGTTTTTGTTGCTGTTTATTTTTTAAAATCCCCTGCTTAGAATATAATATTCCAACGTAATATCCAGTACAAGGAATTCCAACTTTAACCATGGTTTTCGCATCAGAGTAAAGCTGAGTGATTCTTATGTAAGCTTCCCTGGCAGTTTTACCTGACAATAACCATGGGATATACTCCTTTGCTGCACATGCGTTTCTTCACCATGAAACATATAACATGGTATAGTTTGGCTGTGTCCCCATGCAAATCTTACCTTGAATTGTCATAATCCCCATATATCAAGGGCAGGGCCAGGTGGAGATAAACGGAATCATGGGAACGGTTTCGCCCATATTGTTCTCGTGGTAGTGGATAAGTCTCATGAGATCTGATGGTTTTATAAATGGAGTTCCCCTGCATATGCTGTCTTGCCTGCCACCATGTAAGATGTGACTGTGCTTCTCCTTTGCCTTCTGCCATGATTGTGAGGCCTCCCCAGCTATGTGGAACTGTCATTGAACCTCTTTTTCTTTGTAAATTACCCAATCTTGGGTATGTCTTTGTTGGCAGCATGAGAACAGACTAATACAATAGATATTCAAGGAGTTCCCTAATGTAGCACTTCTTAAGTTCTTAGAGTAGAATCTGTAGATCCTTGGAAAGGGTTCACGAAACCTTCTTTGGGAATCTACAACTAAAACTATTTTCATAATAATACTAAGTTAATATGGTGTTTTCACTTTGTTGAGTTTGCACTGATGGAAATGGTGGATAAAGCTGCCAGCACCTTAGCATGAATCAAGCCATGTCACCAAATGGTACTAGTAGTCACTGTGTTCCTCACCATCATGTCCTTCCAGTGTCAACTTTTAAAAATGCCAGTTTCATTTAAGAATGTCTCTGGATGAAGCAGTAAACATTATTAGTTTTATTAAATCTTGGTCTTTGAGTGTGTGTCTTCCAAATAGTCTTCTTGATGAAATTAAAAGTATGCCTAAAGCACTCCTGCTACAAACTGAAGTGTGATTGTTTGAGATGTAAGCTGAACTAGCTACTTTTGTTGTGGATTGTTTTTACTTAAAATACAACTGGCAGACCAACTGTGGTTATTCAAACTTGAGTATTTGCCAGACATTTCCTCATAAATGAGTGAAGTGAATGTCACTTCAAGGAAAACAAGGGACAAGATTTTTTACTAATGATAAAAGTGGAGTTTTCAAGCAAAAATTAGAATTTTGGAAAACTGGTATCTGCCACTGTATTAGTCAGGGTTCTCTAGAGAGACAGAACGGAATGGGGACACACACACACACACACGTACACACATATATATATACACACACACACTGCACACATATATATACACATATATACACACACATACACACACGTATACATACACACACGCATATATACACACACACACACGTACACATTATATATACACATATATACACACACACATGTATACATACACACACGCATATATACACATACACACACGTACACACATATATATACACATATATACACACACATGTATACATACACACACGCATATATACACATACACACACACACATATATACACACACACTGCACACATATATATACACATATATACACACACACACGTATACATACACACATGCGTATATACACATACACACACACACACACACACACACACACACACACACACACATATATGCGGCGTATATTAAATACTAACTTACACGATCACAAGGTCCCACAATAGGCTGTCTGCAAGCTGAGGAAGAAGGAGAGCCAGTCCAAGTCCCAAAACTGAAGAACTTGGAGTCCAGTGTTTGAGGGCAGGAAGCATCCAGCACAGGAGAGAGATGTAGGCTGGGAGGCTAGACGAGTCTCTCCTTTTCACATTTTTCTGCCTGCTTTATATTCATTGGCAGTTGATTAGATTGTGCCCACCAGATTAAGGGTGGATCTGCCTTCCCCAGCCCACTGACTCAAATGTTAATCTCTTTTTGCAACACCCTCACAGACACACCCAGGATCAATAGTTTGTATCCTTCAATCCAGGCAAGTTAACACTCAATATTAACCATCATAGCCACTTTGAGCCTGACTTCTTCCCATTATTTAAGCTTTTCTGCTGAGATCAGTGGTAATATTGTTGAATGAGAAATTTTTTTGTTATCGTATAATGAAATGCATTAGCATTTAGAAGATCTGTATAACTTAGTGAACTAATATTTTCCAGATGACCAGTGGTTGATGTTATAAAACCATACAAGGTGGTTGATATTACAAAACCATACAAGGTTAAAGATTCATTCAAAGTGCAGGCTGGACCAATGGCTTTATTTATTTTTTATTTAAAGCATTTTTTTTTTTTTTGAGATGGGAGTTTTGCTCTTGTTAACCAGGCTGGAGTGCAATGGTGCGATCTCGGCTCACCGCAACCTCTGCCTCCTGGGTTCAGGCAATTCTCCTGCCTCAGCCTCCTGAGTAGCTGGGATTACAGGCACGTGCCACCATACAGAGTTTCGCTCTTGTTACCCAGGCTGGAGTGCAATGGTGCGATCTCGGCTCACCGCAACCTCCGCCTCCTGGGTTCAGGCAATTCTCCTGCCTCAGCCTCCTGAGTAGCTGGGATTACAGGCACGTGCCACCATGCCCAGCTAATTTTTGTATTTTTAGTAGAGATGGGGTTTCACCATGTTGACCAGGATGGTCTCGATCTCTTGACCTCGTGATCCACCCGCCTCGGCCTCCCAAAGTGCTGGGTTTACAGACATGAATGAACCACCGCGCCCGGCCTTAAAGCATTTTTTTTTTTAGAGACACTGGGTCTCACTCTGTTGCCCAGGCTGGAGCGAGCACAGTGGCTTAATCCTAAATTATGACAGCCTTGAGCTCCTGGGCTCAAGTGATCCTCCTGCCTCGGTGTCCTAAGTAGCTGGGACCACAAACATGGGCCACTGTGCCTGGCTAAAATTTTTACAAATGTTTTTTGTAGAGAGGGGCATCTTACTTTATTGTCCAGGCTGACAGTGCATTTATATAAAAGAATATGAAAAGTTTGAAATGGTTTCAGATTCCACATTGCAACTAACCTTTAAGAAATCAGCATTTGTTGAGTTTGGGTATGATATCAAAGAAGAATATCTACAGTTATTTGAAAAGGCTGTAAACTACATACCTGTGTGAAGCCAATTTCCTTCATATACTTCAATAAAAATAACTTCTTTTAACAGATTGAATGCAGAAGCAAATATGAGAATCAGCTCTCTTCTATTAAGTTAGATGTTTAAAAGATTCGCAAAACAATGTCACCCTTCTCATCTATTATTCAGTTATTTGTATTGGACATTATAGTTATTTTTCATAAAAATATTGATGTTAACATGTAATCAATTTGTCATTGCATTTTTTTTTTGAGACCCAGTCTCGCTTTATCTCCCGGGCTGGAGTGCAGTGGCACAATCTCAGCTCAGTGCAATCTCTGCCTCCCAGGTTCAAGCAATTTTCCTGCCACAGCCTCCCAAGTAGGTTGTAGGTGGGACTTCAGGCACGCACCACCACGCCCGGCTGATTTTTGTGTTTTTAGTAGAGATGGGGTTTTACCATATTGGCCAGGCTGGTCTTAAACTCCCGACCTTGTTGATCTGCCCGCCTCAGCCTCCCAAAGTGCTGGGATTATAGGTGTGAGCCACCATGCCTGGCCTTTCGTTGCATTTTAAATGATTTAATCAGTAGTTGAAATTTTTTTCAGTTTTAATTTTAAATATGGTAAAAGCTGATGGCTGTAACCAATATAAACAAATGTTCTTTGGGCTTCTTAGTAATTTCTAATGTGAACTTTGAGAACCATTGTTCTAAAGGAAGCTTTGTAAAGTACTCAAGATTTCTGGGAGAAAAGACAGAATTCCAGCAAGAACCAATATAAGCTATGTTGTTTGTAGCTCCCAAGTACAATTTAAGGTTAGGGACATAGCTTCCTGTGGTATACATGGCAAGAGAGTTCCAAATATGAATTACATCAATGAAGCCAGTGCCCAGGAGACAGGACCGTGGAATCTGTGAGTCTTCTGTTGTTGACGGCTCATGCACTTATCGGGAGCATATCATGATTCTCACTCCCTAGAAAAGAATGTTTTTACTCTTCAGATTATGTGTTTAGGAAGTTAGCCACTCTGGAAATACTAAATGTCTTTTTTTAAAAAGCAGTTCTTCCGTTCAGGATAAAGTAGGAACAGAACGAACAGAGGGCCACCCAGCAGGAAAGTTGTTTCACTCTTCAGGCTTCAGTCTGGGTCTGCTGACTACCTAGTGACATGTCAGCTTTGCTGCTCCACTTACCACCTTAATGACTTATCAAGGTTACTGTTCTGAATATACTGCTACCTACTTCTTTGCAACGGCCATGCGTTTAGCAGGGAAAGGATGAGATGGGTAGATAGATTCTGGTCCTCAATATATTGCTATACTAAATTTAGTACTTTTATAAAATTCCAGAGATCAACTTGCTTCAAAATAGAAATGATGGGAGGGAATTAAACTACTTTTCTTGCCTTCTGTTTATTGCATTCCAAGTGGTTTGCCTATTTCATGCCTGGTTATAAGTTGGCTGATTTTGCCCTTTCTTCCGTTTTTCCATGCGGCCTCCGTTTTGTGTGTGATGCGACTGTCTCTGCCCTTTTCTTGGTCTGTGGATCGCAGTGGCATCCTGTGCTGCGCACACTGAAGAACCGCATTGAAGAGAACACTGGCCACACCTTCAACTCCTTACTCTGCAATCTTTACCGAAATGAGAAGGACAGCGTGGACTGGCACAGCGATGATGAACCCTCACTAGGGAGGTGCCCCACTATTGCTTCACTCAGTCTTGGTGCCACACGCACATTTGAGATGAGAAAGAAGCCACCACCAGTGAGTATCCTCTTTCTCTTATGCTCTTCCTGCCTCTTATTAGTCTGTGAAAAAAGTAGAACTCCTAAACACTTCTGCTTTCAGATTTAGAGCATGGGAATACACATTTTGGTGATGAAACATTTTCAAGTGATTGCTTTTCCATGGTTAACTTTTGACTTCCATAGTACTCCTTCATTGATTTGCATATCCAACAAGAATTGGCTGCCTTCTGCTAGGTGCTGGGGGCTCATTTCACTGATGGAAGGGATAAACTCCCTGTCCTCCTGGAGATACAGTCTAGTTGGGGTAGATGAATATTGCCAATTTCTCAGATAATTGCAGTCGTGATCAATGCTGTGAAGGAAAGCCTGTCGAAGGATGACTCAAGCTAGTGGGAGGCTCAGGAAGAGGAATGAGGCTAAGGAAGATGCCCCTGAAGAAGCCTTTAAGTGTTCTTCCTGGTAGTATGGCCACTTTTCTGTAAGGGAGCATTACGTATCTTTGTTTCTTCTTAGCCTTCTCCTGAAATAAAGGTGAATCTGTAACTCTTTCAGAGAAAGGAAACTCAAGCCAGATTATCAAAGGTGGTGATCTGTCCACATTCAGGTAGAAGAGCAGTGACCAGAATATTAATAACTATATAATAACTTCCGTTTCCACCCCACCTCTTACTTAGATTGTGTGACATTTGAGGAATACTAGGGTTATGAATTAAAAAAAAAAAAAATCAGAAGCGAAGCACCTTAGGACTGAGAAAGGTAGTAACACCAAGCAAAGAGCAAATTATTTTATTTTCAGGGTTTGTATCTTTCTAACGAGCATTCCTGATCATTCAGCTTATAACGTTAAACCAGACCCAGTAAGTGTGGAAGGCCAATCAACGGGCTGGTTTTTTTGTTTTTTTAGAGACAGAGTCTCCCTCTGTTGCCCAGGCTTGAGTGCAGTGGCGCCATCTCGACTCATTGCAACCTCTGCCTCCCCGGTTCAAGCGATTCTCCTGCCTCATGCTCCCGAGTAGCTGGGATTACAGGCACGTGCCAGCATGCCCAGCTAATTTTTGTGTTTTTAGGGGAAATGGGGTTTTGCCATGTTGGCCAGGCTATTCTCAAACTCCTGACCACAGGTGATCCGCCCACCTTGGCCTCCGAAAGTGCCAAGGATTACAGGCATGAGCCATTGTGGCTGGCCCAAACTGTTTTTTGAATAGACCTAAGCCAGACCACATCATTATTAGTCAGTGGTCATGTCTGCTCTTCATCAGATATACTTCAATAAGAATACAGACTGTTTTCCTGTTGTGTATTGGGTTTCCATGCATGGTATTTTTAAAGCATATTGTGTAATTTGGCACGTATGCCATTAAGCACCTTTTGTTGGTATGGTTTCCATTGATTAGGTTTTCTTATATTTACATAGAAAGTGTGATTATTGTTAGGGGATTGTTAGTTACCAGTGTTTTTTTGAGCGAACTTGCTCCCTAAGCCTTCAGTTACATTGGCAGGCAGCCTTCTCATGTACCAAGGAGTACCACTTGAGAATCAGACAAACCAACTTTTGCTATATTTTTTTAGATATGATTATACTTTTGTACACAGGCCTCCACTCAGTTAAATACCAAGTTCACATGTGTGAAAAATTCATTCTGCTCTTAGTAAGACTCCTGTTATATAAATAATAGAGAAACCCTGTATGTCTAATTATTTAAGTTCAGACTCTCTCCTCAAGCCAGATGTATGGGACATCAGCTTGTTGCCAGGAGTGGTCCTGGGACTGGGGGCTGTAGCAGTGAATGAGTAAGATGAAATCATCTCTCTTCTGCTGGAGCTCATCTAGCATATGCTAGTGCTGTGCCTTAGAGTTATCCTTCTGGCCTCCTGATTGGCAAATAAGCTACGGTATATATAGCCTTTGGTATAATAATGGTTTTTACTTCTTCACACTTACTTTCCTTGTTGCTCAGTATTTAAGTATTCAGTTACTGTTTCTTTACACACATACATTCATCACCACCACCACTACCACACTTTTTTAAAATGTGGGCCTATTTATAGATTAGGAGCTTAAGAATTCCCTAATTGTGCTTTCTGGATAAATCATTTTACTGTACAAGCAGTTTCCAAATACTACGCATTAACAATATTCTGGTGCCCAGAAATACCCCATTTCTTCTCCCTTTCAGATAGCCGAATTTCTTCATTGTCTTATATAAAGATATAATACATGGTGATCAAGAGCTATTTCTTGGTAGTACACATCAGTTATGTTACAGGTAAAACTTTGTAGCTGGAGAGCATAAACTACCACATGCAGCATTGTTTCTGTGGGCAACCATTTGGAACAGCACCTTATTCTGCCGTGACCCATACTGAAGCTTTCTCTTCTCCTCAGCCTTCTTGGAGTCTGTGTTGATGTCAACATGAATGAGAATACAGGCCATGAAGTACTCAGAAGTGGTAAAGTCCATGTAATTGTCGATGCCAGTGGCAAGGGAATGTGCACTGTGATGATGGTAGCTGATTTGGTTAGAATGCAAATCCAATAAGAAAATTTGCCTGAGATTTTAACAAAGTTGGCTGAGGAAATGGATTTGGGAAGAAATATAAACATGTTGATACTTCAGGTTATTCAGTGTAGTAAGCTTTGGCTTCTGGCCTAGTCTTAAGTTGATTGAATTTGATGCAATTTTTGTATATCATCTCAATTCTGGCTTTTGTTTAAGATTTGGAAATTCAATGTTAATATATTTGAAATTGTAATCGCACATGAGTAAAAAGTGACTTTTTCCCCCCAGGACCTGTAAGTTCCATTTATGTGTAAACAGGATACAAGTTTAAATTTTTGAAAAGATTCCTTCAGGGCTCAGTAACTGATTCCAGAAACCTGGGGCACTACAAACGTAGTGAACCTTGAAGTGCAGAACCCTTCTTTGAGTTGACAGCCTTGGAAATGTATCTTAGATTGTATCATCTTTATCTTATAAATAATCTTTTTTTCCCAAAGGATTGAAAGGAAGTGATTTTTGCAAAATTTTGTCTACTTTTCTTTATAAACTCAGGTGATGAGAACATGACTCATGATTCGTACAGCCCAAGGTAAAAGCACAAACTAACAAGTACAAATTAGATTAGTCTTCAGTGTGGGATTTGTAGGAGTCTGACTTCCTGTAACTCTTAGGGACCTGTCTCGGTGTGCTACTACAGATTGTAATTTTCATGTCTGTCACTGAAACCTTCAGGGTGTATTAGAGGTTGTGGGAGGGAATCTTTCAAACTCCTATTAGCTTTGACCCATCAGAGGAGAAATTAATGCCTATTTGACTTGAGTCATAGTTTCTCAACTGAGGCGGACATGGGAGTCACGAGATTTCCTGCGCTTTGTTCAAGTGTGCAGTTTTGAGACAGAAAAGCATTTGTTTTGGGCCACTTTCAAGGAGAAATAGTCCTGATTTTAAAAAAAATTCAAACTCCTCCACCCTTGCAGCAGCTGTTTGTTTTGCAGTCTGGCACCCCGAGCAGATCTCCGTTAACTGCTGATCTACTGAAAGCTGCCCCAGTTCCACACACTGTATCCTAACAATTTCTCCCTGTGCTGAGATGGTAAGGAGATCTTTGTTTCGTAAGCACCAGTGCCCTCTGATTCATGCATCAGCTCAGTCAGCTTCATGTGTACATCATCTCTGGGATTAAATATGTCACTCCTCCGAGGTGCTGGTTCTTTTTTTCACGGTCCTGGAGTCTAGTCTGCCAACTACTGCTCATTCATTTTGATTTTAGAGTAAATTACCCTTTCCTTTAATGATATTACTGTCATTACTCAGGGACAGAGTAGACTTATTTGAGCTTGCTTTTACATTCATTCTGATTCTTTTTTTTTGCTTAGTTCAAATTCAAGACTAAGTGAAGAGCATCTTATCAATATTCTGGCCGGTGTCAGTCTATATTGTCTTAAGACTGTCATAAAGCTTATTAAATATACTTCAGTAGACCTTTTTTCTTCTATCAGGCTGGTTTTATTAGAGGTTTTCTATACTTCTTGTCCCAAACCCAGTTGTACTTTTCAAACTACATTGTGTTCCTGTTTGCAAAGATTAGTCTGGTTCTTTTCCCAGCTAGTTTTAATTCTATACTGAAAAAAACAAGCTGGAAAAGGAACTACAAAAGCCATTTGGCAGGCTGCTATTTCTCTGTCGGTTACCATGGAAACAGTGATGGCTGGGGGGGTGTTATTAGATAATAGCAGGAAGTCTGTGATGCACTGGAGGTTTAGATGCCAAAAGCCTTGTTTTTCTAGCAAATTACCTCTGGATAAACTGTATCCTTCATTAGCTGAATTCTGCAAATGTGAGGGGCTCCTATTCACCTCGGAGTGATTGAGCTGCAGCAGGTTGAGCCCTCTAACCAGTCCTCCATAGCCCTTGTGAATGCTGTTTGTATTGCCAGAAGAGATGGTTGTGAAAGCAAGTCTAACGGTGGAGACTGTGAGAGCACCCAATGAATTGGATGTGCTTCCCTTGCCAATTGGTTGTGGGTTTTTTGTACAATACTGGGAAAAGTAGAGTATAGAAAGGTCAGTCAAATCATAAATATTGACATTTTTTGTAAGACTTTAGAAAAAAATAAAGATATTGGAATCCAAAATAATATTATACTAAATAGCTTAAATTTGGAAATTAGATAAGCTAGTACTATGCAGGATTTCATAGGGTGGAAACAGTCTCCACCTTAGCCAGCAGCCCCACTGCTGCTATTCCAGTCATCCATCCTTCCTGTTAATCCATCTGCCGATTATAGCACCTACTCTAAGAGATGACAAGGAGTACTTGAGACTGGGCATGATGGCTCTTACCTGTGATCCCAGTACTTCAGGAGGCCAAGGTGGGAGGATCACTTAGCTCAGGAGTTTGAGACCAGCCTGGGTAACATAGTGAGACTCCGTCTCTGTTTTTTAAAATCAACAAAATAAATATAAGTAAATAATAAGTAACAGAAATACTTGAAATAAATTGTTGATAGCCATGA